CCAGTAATATTTCAATGTGGCGAGAATGCAGTTTCACAGAGAACAGGAAACAAATAAATAAATACCGTATTGGAGGAGGTAGATATGTCTTCGTCCTCTCAGAAGCTCGAAAATATCGTATGAATTGTAGTTTCATTACAGTGACTAACTGTATATCCATTTGAAAAATTCCATGATTTCTCCGAGTAAACATAACTCAATAAACCAGTAACGGAAGTTCTCATCCCAAACAGTGCATTTACTACTTTTAGTTGACAGATACCAGTATAGCCACTGGAATATCACCGCCGTTAAGAATCGCGAAACCTGGGTGGGGTGCAGATTGCGTCAGTCTATTCTAGAGTTCCATCTACCCATCACCCTCATTTTCCGTCCCCATCTGACTCATAGAATTTCTCACCGATCAACCGGACAAGTTCCCTTTTTGAGTGCAGCCAAGTAGTTCATTAGTGTGTGCTCGAGCAGGGAGTAAATAATTTATTTTCAACGTGAATTGTGAGACAAATTAGGAAAAGGGCACGCCCCGTTATATCCGGTGTCTCGAAACCAGTTGAGGCGATTAGGTTCCGATCATGATTAAACCGTAAATCCGACACTAAGATAGAGACTTTAAAGTATCGACCTTCACCCACACTGAAAACGCTTTGTAACATACATTGAATACTAAAATTTAAAAGAATTCATCCGCTGGATTTCTTCTCTTACCTCACGTGCAGTATTCTAAATTATCCCAAACGAACAAAACAATTTATCCTCAGTGAAAAATGAAAGGCTACGGTAGTTCGCCCTCAACTGCAGGAGAACGTAAACAGGAAAGCGAACTTAAGACTAAAGTTAATTGAAGAAACCATATTTCAATGTAGAAAATCGGAAACCATATTTGTCTTGGCTGTGCTCATTTGTTTTCAACCAGCAAACGTAGTGATTATTTCTGTTATCGCGTTAAATTTGCCATTATTTTATTGCACTTGGATGAATAGCAACAAATGTAATAGTCATAGACATAAGAACCTCTTGCTCACCGATAAATTATAATCTAATCCCTTGAATTTACAGAGGGAACCCATATAAAACTTCAAATAAGATAGATGTGGTATGAAACCGGGCAAGTTGAATGAAGATGACGTAGTTGGGCTCTCAGATTTCAGTGCCTAAAGCACGCTGTTTGCAGAGACTCAAACTGCTTGAATGGCTCCTAGAAACAAAGCTGTTTCAGTTTTAAGCGAGTTTGCCTACACCGTTGAATGCGGCTGAGCAGTGATGACTAATTCCATCAGTGGTGCATACGTTTCAAAGCTAAAAGAATCAAGCTTAGTATTTAATTCAACTAAGATCACTGAAGGTCGGAACCTCATTCTCGTGTATCGATCTCAACCAACAGAATGCAGAATATCAACCGAAAGATAAGTAACAGATATTTCCCTTAAAGTCGTGCATCCATACACGCGATTAGTCGTAAACGCGGATTGTTTCATCTTCAGATCATTCTCATAGAGCATGCTATTAAGTTTATTTGCTCACTCGATCGCACGTGACGAGGTTATTGGGGTTAGGAAGCTCATTTTCACCAGACCTCTGCCAATTCACTTTCTGATAGTCATTCTTCGATTATGTTCGTGTTCATGTCATTCCAAGTTTATCGTCGGTCAGGCGTACAAAGTATTTCTCTTTAAATCGTTTAGTAAAGTGCGATTCAGGTTGAACTTGTAGAACTCGATGAAAAGTATTCTATTTGAAAGTAGGTTCACTAACTACTACACTGAATGTGTGGTTTGCATAGGAACAGTGTTTGTGGAAGGCGAAATTGTGCGGTTACGCCCAGTCAATCATGTCGTTTCCATGACAGAAAGAGTACTTGTGACAGCAAGTTTATTTTGTCTTGTCGACGTTCAAATATCTCAAAATACGCTTGTCATGAAATCAACGAAAGATTTCGAATGTTTTGGTACAAAAAATTACCAGAAACCAAAAGCCTTCAATTGAGCATTGTTTATTTTCTTATTTGAAAACCCCCACTTAAACATCTGTTTGATTCGCCAGCGGACTTTAATCAGAGTGAGTGAACAACCATTGTTTTCTTTTTAGTAAAGCCTTGTTCACTGATCGGTGTAAATAGCAGTTAAGCTTCACCAAGGATCTCAGAGTATGAATTGGAGCAATATCATTCTTCTAAAAGAGCAGTATAACATACCACCCAAATTGTTTGCTCTTACGGCGTAAAGCCAGAAGATAATCACGTGCAAGCAAGCGAACTCAAACAATATAAGCCATATTATTTTTTCATTGTTCTCGGTTCTGCTGTCAAAAGATGACGTAAAAGTCATCAAATACAACACAAAGCAAAAATAATTGCATTGAACTTGTATGATTTTCAATCACGTAGAGTCAGCTGGTAATTTGACGCAGATACGTTTTTAGGCATCAAATACATGAATACTGCAATCGTGTTACAGTAATGTCGTGACTGAGACCGGGACACAAGTAGTGACATAGTTTAACATCTTGACCACTTGAAGTTTTTCGTACCAACTCTTTGTAACTTTATCTAATAAAAACTCAACTAATCGTATTGATAATAACAAATTCAGTGTAATACATTTCTTACTTGCTTTTTAATCGGATACAACTGTACTTTTGGAAAGCAAGAGGTGCCTCCAACCAGGCGCTATCCCAGGATACAGAACAGGGGGGTTATAAGGTTTGCACTTGTGCCCTTTGGTCAGTTGAGTTGTGATCCAAACGTCCTGGCTACCACCACACGTTGAACAAACAGAACTACATTAAACAATATATGGTTGCCTGATATACTACCTTTCAGGGTCCGAAAAACATCGAACAAGAAATTCTCATTCAGTGGCCATGTATATGTTCACTTGCAAGCGTTTAATTAGCAAAAGTCAATCAAGCAACACGATTTTTCTGTCCGTTTCCATGACTACCAGTCCGGATATTTCACAGATCACATCGATAAAAGGAGATCAGTCACATAGCACTCCCAAACGCACAGTCTATAAATCAGAAATTGCAGTCCTATCCCCAGGATCATTCACTGTGATATCAGGGTGTCACTGTGTCATTGTGTCAACCATTTAGCAATGCAATGTTGAAATCAAACTGAACAGGTTTAGTGAAATTCCGCTCAACTTGAGACAAAAAGTAGTCAAGCGCTGTGAAGGTCTTTGATTGAAATGATTAATGACTAATTCCTAATCTTGCAGGATAAAAATTGTTGTGACGTTCCGTCCCATACACGAAATGACAAACACACCAGGGCTGACAGTTGTCCAGCAGTTAGAATCAACTTTCTTGAGCTACTTGCCAATCCTCTCTCTTGCTCGTTCAATTTGGAAAATTATTCAGGTGCGATTGCTTGGTGCTATATATTGAATAGAAATGTCTGGAAGTCAGATAAACTATAAACCGAGGAATGTTATGGAATCTAAATGCCATGTAGATAAATAATCTGCCTTCGTGACCGAAATCATGGAGTAATGGGTTGATCGTGCTTGCTTGGGTCTGTGAACTAATCCTTCCAGTTAATTCACAATACCTCACTGTTATCGAACACTCCGTTAAACCCATGGTGATTAGTGAATTATTCTACTTGTGGGGGTCTTTTTCGTCCGGAATTAATTAGTTCCTCCAATGGGTTCATTTGGTTTGTTATTTGGTAAGATCTTCTTTAACGCATAACATCACCACCGGGTAACTGATTTCACAGAAAATAGACTAGCCATAAGTGAGTACGTTTGCATCCCCGCCAGGACTCAATCCATGAACTTAGGGTAGCGAATCGGAAGGCACATATCGGTGCCATACGGTAGACCTTCAAAGCCTTGAGGTCGCAGCTATACTAACTGGTTTTACATGTTCCTGGTTCAGCCCGTATAACTTTGCAGACACCACTGTCGGTGTGATATTCCTATCATACTCGTCTCACTTATTTGACGTTCACTAATCTCTACTACGTGTTCTGGTCGGATCTTGCCTAAATTAGAGCTGACACCCTAACTTTTCAGGTGTCCATTGGTCATAGCTCAAAAAGAGCAGTTGATATAAAGTGCGGTAAACTTTCCACATGAATATGTTGTTCAATACCGAAAATAATCAACGCAACAAAAAACCCAAATGATCAAACTAGAATTCCCTGTCGGTGTTGGGATAAATTACTTCGAATCAAAGGTAACCATTGCGATTGTGACGGCTAACCGGGTTCTCATCTCAAATCATGAAGAAATACCTTCACGGTGCTTTGTTCTTTCTTGTGAGTGAAACTTAAACCCTGTGTGTCAAATCTGTTCGATAATTTTATCGTCTAACTCAGAATTTGACAAAACTTCTCTCTGAATTAAGCAGACTGATACCAAGTTTCAAGCAATCGGGACCATGGTCAAATGTCAAGTAACTTAATAATTGTTTGTTAAAAATTATTGTCATAGCTTAGAAACCTTAATACTACTAAAATTGACTCAAAGATAACAATACAGATATTTATATCGAGTGTTACGTCAGAAATTCACTTCTATATGGAAGCGTTTGTGAAAACATGTGCACAAAACTTTAGACTTATTGTGACGAAAGATGTCTGCCTTTTGTTTGAGAACCGGCTTTTTGAGACACCAGTGATTTACGATTCAATCACCTACCGAATCGGGCTACAAGATGAACACATTTAGAAAAAGTGCAAGCCAAAATAACTTTCTTTTTATCTAGATTGATAACAAAACAAAAGAATTCGAAAAAGGAAGCGCTGTAGATGAAAACGATCAGTCTGTATGTCCTAAATGGATGCGCTGATGGTAAAAACACTTGAAACCGCCACACAAACAAGCACGTGAGTGTTACAAACAAGTGAATCACTAACTCACTCTACGTGGTTCAGTGTGTGTGCAACATCATTCAGGTCATTTCTTAGCTATGGATCAACACTACATTTTGCCTCAAACACTGCATCACATATCCAAACTGGTAATAATGACAGCAATTATCTAGGCACTAAATCAGTCCATTTTAGTTCGAAACTTACCCGCATAATCCGGGGTGCCAGCCAATTCCCGTTGTTGCTTGTCCTCAGTTAGTTCAGTTGCCAAACCGAAATCGGTGAGAAAGACATCANCATCAGTAGATGGATAGGGTTCACGAAGTAAAACATTCTCAGCCTGAAAAGTTGAATCAAACAACGATCGGGGTGATTTTTCAAAATAAGATGGCACGTATAGATCACCCATTCCTTATCGTCATTAATATACTCGTTGATGTATTTGCGCGAGGTAGCTGTCTGTCTATTTTCAGTTAGTGCAACTAATTAATTAAACCATCCAGAAAAGATGTTGTCGATGACGATGATGATGATGTTGGTGACATGGCATTGAGAGCACCCAAATTAAAAAAGCGTGGAACAAATGCCTTAAAAAGAGATACTCTATTTTTATCTACGATTCTCCACTGAAACTTCTAGCAAACAAGAAGCAAGGTAATAACCATTTGGATTAGGGTGCACTCTAGTCATTCTGCAATCAGTCATATCATTGAATCCGTACATTTAAAAAGACTTTCTACGCAGTTGTTAATGGGATTACAATTTGAGAACATTTCTTTAAATATTATGAAACCAGTTTTTTACTGATTGGCCGAACGATTGATAAGAATTAGTATTGTTGTAATAAGGAGGTAACCTGTGGCCAAATTACCTCATTACTTCATAATTTAATTGTGTAGGTAGCATACAATGAATGTTTTTGTGTTCACTTTAGTCATTTCTTACCATTAATCACTAAGTATAAGGAAATTGTTCGTTCTTATAAATATCTTCCTCATTCGGTACTGCACGGTGTTTTTCCTAGCCAACGCAACTAAGAGTCTTTGAGTATAATATTAGTAGCTGAAATGCTTTACGAGATCAAAATCAATAGTTGTGCTCTCGCAATATGTGGATGTTATGACTTATTAAAAAGGTAAGCCTTGAAAGAAAATTCAGGGAACCGACCAAAGATTGAATGGATTAGCGTGAACTTCAGCATGTACAATTCAAAAAGTTTAACATGTGCATAAAACTGGTATACCGTTAGTCGGAACTGTTGGAGCGAATCGTGGCTTTACACGCGTACCCAAACCCATGGTGGGACCAAGTGCTATCTAGATCGAACGAACTTTGGAATTGGAACGAAGTGCCTCGTTAAGTAATCGAATTATTTTGATTTTCAGATTTTTAGCACAACCGCGAGCTGCAATGAAAACACATGTTCACCCGTGACTTACTAAGACTTATTAAGCATTTCAGAGAGTGCTCTATATTATTTTTTTTTCAAAATTTAGAATGGTTTCATCAGTCTAGTTCACTGATGAAACATTTATTGTTTTTTACTATCGTTTTTGTTCTCACTTTGTAAACTTTAGTTCCACCCAGTTATGGACATAGAAAAACTGGAATGCATTCAATGAATGCTTCCATTAGGTGATTGGACTCAATTATGAATAACCTAGAGTATGGGTGCTCTAAGAATTTTCCATGAGCAACAACCGTGAACCAGAACACTGTTTCCGACTAATACTAGTATGAGCAACTGTGGATACTATCGGCAATCTTGTAAGGCTTGGTCGTTCTCTGAAGACAAACAGGACTCTAATAAGTTGCCAAAGTGGTCGAATAGGTTGACGTTTGTGTTTCGACTCTCAATTCTAGGGTCCAAACATAATTTAAGTCAACCTCTTCTTACTGCAGCAGAAACCTAAATAATGTCGCAGTGACTTCACGGTGATTCAAGGCTTCTCAAGCTCACTTTTGCTTTGCTCAGTGTGCGAACAAATACATCGTCGTGAGCGTCGTACTTCCTATTGGTAGAAAACAAAACAGATTCGGGTTGACATTAGGAACTGTTTCACATCCCTTCTGGTTTCGGTGGTTATTGAAAATTTCAGTAAGTGTTTGAACGATTTAAAGGCCTTCCAACTAGTTTTGTTTATGCCTTCAGCCTCAGAAGGATAGTTTGGAGTTGTTATACTGCAATGGACCAGAGTGCTACCAGTGACGACAATGACGCTGTAGGAAAGCACATCCAAAATTTTCTTGACACATTTGTTTTCCCTGCTCTCGTGAAGAAGGACTTGTCCAAAAACGCCATATCATGCAAACGCTTTGTGGTTGTTTGTTTCGACTACTTGACAGGTTTCAGCCGAATGAGTCAGTCAGTCAGTCAGTTGCATTGATCAGATGTAGAAGTTATGTTTTCAGAAAACAGGTGTCGTATGTACGGAGTACATAGAGCACGTATGAAGAACAAGCAGTATGGTTGTGGTGTTGGTCATCGTGATGGTACCACAAAAGCAGAGATACGTGCTACAGACATCAGAGTCAGTTGCAGTGGAACTTCTCGCACACCCGTTCTGCCTATTATCTCAACTAGTGTTCAGTTAAACAGCCAATTTAAGTTCAAATTTCCATTCACAAAATACCGTCTGGGGCTCATATTTATCTTATCGTGAACATTTTAGCTTAATTTTGGAAATGGTTCTCTTATTTTGGCAAAACCTGTGGAATACTGATAAACAGGTGCATCTGATCAAGGCACCTAAACCGTATTAGACATGTGAAAGTAAACTATGTGCTCCTCAGTTCCAACATGATCCACTTTGTACATGGACCGTTTTGTATTTGCAACAAAGCACTCGAATTGTGCGGAAAATTGTTAGCAGCTAATATATTTTCGGAAAATGGTTGTTTTTCCCTCCAATTTCCCCACCCGTATCGATTTGATTTGCGCAAACGCGTTTGGTTATGAATCAGCGTTCGTTTGTAGCTGACTCACTGGATACTGTACCCGTGGACAAACAATGTTGAACAGCTGTTTTGTTTCAGCATTTCGAGGATGAGTCAGGAAACGTTTTACTTTGATCGGGTCAGCGACTGGAATCACATACCTTTCAGCTTGAAGTTAATTTCATAAGCACTGAGGTAAACGACAATAACCCTCCAGCTAATCCATGTCTTGTTGTAATTTTACAGAAGTGGCTATTGCCTAAAACTCGGTGGGGAGTACTTTAGATTCAAAAATTGATCAAAATTCTAATACTTTTTATTGCAAAATTACAATTTGTATTAGACGTAAGCAGATCACGTTTTGAAAATAACTGATATAATATTTTGTTGATCGAGTCTCTTCGTTTTATCCCAGTTGTTTCTGGTGCACGCTAATAACCTCTTCTTTAGCGTCTCTCTATTGGAACGCAACAACACGTTTCTACAGGTGGTCTTTTTCTTCTGTTCTGCAACACTAATGATTTTGTCTCTATTCTGTTCGTGCATCTGCAGCGCTTATCAGTTTTCGTACAACAACTGATCATTGATCTTTAATTAGTATGATTTTTACCAATAAATGTGAGGTTCCGATGGCTTACCGAATTTCATCTGGTGTTCGAACCTTCGATTTTGTTAGGGACCTTCTGTGTTTCCTTTTGGTGGTTCGTGATAAAATAGTCTACATAATTTAATAACCTCTTGAAGTTTTGGCACTGATACAAAACTATATTAATACAATCCCCGATAGTTTGGATCCGTGAATAAACATTTTTCCTGAATATACCATCCACGTGTGAATCGTTCTCAGAAGGATAAATAAATAAAGCTATCAAAAGAATCAGTAGAGGTTTTTAAGATAGATCGTTTTTATTGTTTTTTTCTCAAAGCTAATCGGCGGGTTTGATTTGCTCCACTCTGCCTTTAGGCAACAACCTCTATAAAAACAGAACAATGATGCAACTATGAACGGGAATTCCCGGGTCTCATCTTCCTTCCAACTTTTCACAAACCCAGGAGAAGATGTGTAAACAAAAAGGATTTGGAGAACGAAGGTTTTTGCATTGAGGGAGAGATGAACTATGTATTGATGCTGCGAACAGTATGGAGAATGATGTAAATAATGTTGTGAGAGAATTAGAATAAGAATCGGAGTAAATAATAAGTAAGACTTTGCGAATCCCAGTCATATTATTAAACTTAACGGATTACTCAATGCGTTAGTCATTTTTATTGTCGTACTCAGGATTCGAGGATCGTTGCCATCCGAACCTGGAGGTTGGTAATTTAACTGTGACACGGCTCTCAGCCCCATAACTATCTCCATAAAGCCCCGTGTGTTTTTGTACTCCAATTTTCAAGCAGAGTTATGTCATCAGTTACCACAACGGAACGATTGGCGGTGCTCACTAGTTTTACTAACCATCCCACAAAAGCGCATTATAAACATTTGATTTCGTTAAACAGGCATTAACTTCAATTCCCTGTGCTCCTTGATATTCTCTGTAGATTCAAAATAAACTAATTTTTCTCTAGGTTTCCTCGAGACAAACACCGCCATTGATAACAATAATAGTTTAACCGACTGAACTCGGTCATGAGTTCACTAGACTTGCAGTAACTTTCATGTTATCTCTGTTAACTCTCACCTCCAATTAATAGAAAAAATCTCAATGATCTTATGAACCAACCGAAGGGAATTTAAACCTAAACACTTCTCCAATAATTCTTAGTATCGAGCAGTTAAGCAAATTTCCGGTATCACCAACATCTTGGACACACAATTAGGTGTTGACCCATTGGTAAAGAAGCAGAAACCAAACAACTCACGGTCACATTAAAATCGTCAAAAAAACGTAAACACATATAAGCACTGTAAGAGATTCAGAAGTTGATATTTGTAGAACTTAATAAAATCGCAAAGACACTTTGTTATCAAAAATCACCAATTGAGTTGAAATCAAAGCTGTAGTATTTACAATACTACAGAGTTGACTCTGCAAAACGGATATACCTGGGACAACCCAATGAACCTAAATATGCGCTACGCATTCTAGTATGACGGGCAATTCGATGAATCAACAAGATCTACAGACTCCCGTCATTCAGCAAACTTAAAGCATCATTTCTCATCCTCCTTCCAAAAGTTTCTCAGATGGTTTACATGTGTTCTGAACTGTGTTGCTCAAATCTCCCCCGAACATTTATTGGGCTTAAAATAATATGTACACAACATGCACTTAAAGGAAAGTGCGACGAGAAATCCACTAGATATGCGAAAACCTTAGTCCTCAGTTCAAATTAGTTTGATTGGCACGTTTGGCCTACTTTGTTGCACTCTTGATGCAAGTGGCACTATGGGGTGGTAACCAGATGTGATCATTTTGAGGAATGACGTATCAAGAATTGGAAACGATGCGAAAAGAACTATAAACT